ACTTGGGAGTGGTGGCTGTTCGTCTACAGCTGTGCCCAGACCGCCGACCAATCGATCTTTGGCGAATGAAAAAGCGTGCTGTTCGACTGATCGAGTGTGGTCAGTGCAGACGATGGGACATGACTCCCCAAATCTTGATGCAAGCTGGAATGATCAGGAAACCAAACGTCCCCAGCACCACCCAGTTCAGGTGGTTCATGAACCCCTGATGTACGCTGAGAGGAGACAAACTGTTTGGCGGTAGGTCGCAAGAGTTGAGAGTAGTCAGTCGGCTGAGAGGGGGAATGGTCACTGACTTGTCGGCATTCGGGGTGAACAGTAACAGCGCGGCCGTCGACGGCCGTGGAAGGATCTATCTACTGCCAGAACAGAGGAGACCACGGGCGGGAAAAGAACGTTTAACTGACACATTGAGCAAAACCATTCAGAACCCAGACAATGACAGGCAACTGACCATGTTGAGGTTGTTGCTGCCGTAAAGCAGCAAGGTTGTCACAAAGGCTAAGTTTGTCTCCTTTGTCGCTTCAAAAGCTTTCGTTGCTTCTGCCTGCCACACGTGAGAAGGTGATTGGAGACAGGGGTAGGTTTCGAGGGTCCAAATTACCTTTTGAGGAGGTACTTGGGGCCCAAGGGCCCTAGGGATGCGGTCTCGCCCGCATCAGTTTTGCCATGGCTGTGGGCGTACATAAGCCCCATTGTGCCGATTGAATTTGGGATCACTGCTTTCCCCTTCTGTGACTTGGAACACTTCCGTTTGGTTCGTTTGGCACTACCACTGGCACACCCTGCCAGGCAGAATTGCACTGCGTTAATCTAGGCCCAATCTAGGCACTCCAGAAGGAGGATGAGGTGGATTGGTGCACAAACAAGCTGGACCAGGGGAAGTTGATTCAGGAGGCATGGGCGCAGCCCCCCTTTCGATCACAATCCGCTTGCCAACAGCCCCAAAATCCAAGACCAACGCGACTCTTACCAGCATTCAGTGTTGCTTAGGATCTGGGGTCTCTGAGGTCAATTTTCATGAAGAGAGCACATGCCCTGCCGAACGAACTCTGGTGGTCTTTTCGACGACCCAAGTCGGCCTGGTTGAAGACAACGGCATCAAGGAACACGGCCAATACCTTATGTATCGACTTACTTGAGCAGCGAACAAATCCTCTCACAAGCAGATGAACCAAACTGGTCAACTCTAGCTTGCTTGCAGTTTCCAACACTGCTGGCTGGGAAGCTTGCGGAAGGCTTTCGTGGAAACTGTATGGTACAAACCTCACTTCGCATGATAAGCTCAGGGAAGTGAATGTTTCATTCTTCCCACTTCGTACGATAGATATATACTATACTGCATGATTCAGAATGATATTTGCCTACCTACACTTCCAATGGGTGCCCAATGGAGGCCTGTAAGTAAGGTAGGGTAGTCTATTGGACACCCATTGGATGACCCTGGTAATCATTGTGTCTTACATTCTTGCAAGAGTTGCTATTGCAGTTTGCCTGGCATATGACCACCTTTTGGACTACGCCGGGCTGGGGCGCCACACGATCCAAACGCACGCACCAGGCTGCTGACGCCGGTCGTAATTAGACAAGATTGTAGGCAGGTTTTGACCATGGGACCCGACCTTACTCCCGACCTTTTCTTGAAAAGTCGGTGAACTTGTAGCATCATCTTCAAGAAGTCTCGGGTGCTTTCTTCATCAATGGCTGTTTTTTTAAACAGCGGATCCAACAGCTCATCCAGGAGAAATGCTTGGGTCGATGAAAGGGGGCTGATTAAGAAGGCCTTTCGGGTTCCAAAGGATTAACAATGATTAACACATGCCTCAACTTGACTGGCTTTTGGGGAGGTTTCAATTTCAATCCTTTGCTTCTCATAGTTTTGCCAAATCCTTCAATGTTGAAACAGGACTGTAACAGTGCCAAGGTTGACATGCTTTTGTAAAACGTTGGTGTTTTCACAAAGGCATACGATGGCTAAACTTACGACATTTGTCACATCAAGAGCCTTTGGCGCGAAGCCGGCCCAATCTCCAGCGTACCACTGACAAGATCCGCGGTGACACTTTGTGGTCTTGCCCACATTGTATTTGCCATGGCTGTGGGCTTGTGTGCACCATTGTGTCGATTGAATTTGGGATCACCGCTTTGCCATTCTGTGACTTGGAACACTTCCGTTTGGTTGGTTCGGCACTACCACTGGCACACCATGCACGGCAGAATTGCACAAGTCTAGGCATTCCAGAACGAGGAGGGTCGGTGGGTCGGTGGATGGATGGATGCCTGTGCAGAAAAGAGCCGGACCGCCGGACCAGGCGATTCAACATCCATGACCGAAGCCAGCCCTCGTGGCTTGTGCCATTACCTCGACCCTCGCCATGCATTGCACACGGTTTGGATTGCGTCAAGCTGCTAAGCAACCCGCGCTTACGAAGGGATTGGAGGATCAACGTATCAGAGAATCCAGATCAAATTCAGATAATATGTTTTTGTTTTTGACCAGAAACTTGATTCAATTTTGACCACCAACTTGATACCATGTTGATCCATGTTGATCCATTTTGACCACCACTCTCCTGGCTTCCACTTGGAGCTTTGTGGTCCACCCCCATGGCTCATCATGGCGTTCATCCTGCCGCGTAAACATGCACGTTTTGCATCGTTTGGAATTAGCGCAAGGTTGTTTAACGCGAGCATCTCCGAGTTGCATTCAAAAACATGTAAAACATATTTTCTTAAACGAGCAGACTCTGGTTTGAGCAGAGACTCATGTAACTCACAGGCTCATAGACCGAGGTCCCAAACCCGGGCTGTGAGGGTCAAAGCCCTCGCAATGAGGGTTCCGTTAGGGTTGTGGAAGTGTTTCTCCAAGAGTCTAAGACCTTGTTGGCACAAAAGGTTGGCTTTCTTGGGGTTTTGGTTGATAGGTTGAGAAGGGAGGAGGCTGCTCAGACTTGAAGCTGTGTACCCAGTACGCATTTCTTCATAAAGCTAATCTCAACCTTTCTCGTCCTTTCTAAGTGTTTGTATCCGCGGCTTTGGGCTGTTTGCAATTTCCATAACAATAGGTTTCCAATGGCTGGCCGTGGCTGAGTGAGCTTCCACTGCGGATTTTAAGCGGTCTGATTGCAACGTGCCAAGTACAGTGTTGTCAGACTAGATTGCACAAACCCGAAGATGTCCTCTAGATAGGGATCCATTTAACCCCCCTAACTTGGGGATTGTGCCCACTGAAACCACTATAAGCCTCCTTCTTGGGCAGAGGTCAAGCCGCAGAGGTGCTTTGTTCGGGTTAAACCGCGATCACCGGACGGTTCGAGAAAGTGCGCTCTGCGACGACCAACGAACGTCTCGACCAAAGGGTCGCAAGGCGTTCCAAAGTGACAGGAACCACTCGTAGTGAATAAGAAGCTACAAGTCCATGTCCTAGATATCTGCCTCCAGCTGTCTTTTTCGGCTTCTGGCTTGTTTGGCGAAAGCAGCTGCCACCTGCACTTCACACCCTGAGAACGATGAAGATGGCGTGACCAGCTCTCAGCTGCAGCGTGACTTCCAGGAGCCTCTCTCTATCGCGCGTCGACTGGACGCCAGTGGCGGATGCAAGGCTGGTGGTCAGCAGACAGAAGTGATCGGTCGGGTTGGCAGGCCTGGCAGGGTTGGGTGGATGCAACACTAACAAGAAGGTTGAAGGACCTGACTGCTTCGACCATCCCAGGCGGGTACCAGGTCGACCAGGTCCTTCACTGGATACCTCTAGCCTCTACTGGGAGTTAAGCTGTCCACTCCTGACTGTCGTCTCAAGCGACCGACAAGTCCACAGGTGCACAGATTGGATGGTCGCTCTATCAAAAGGAAGATGTACCCCACTGTCTCAGAGAAACGGTTGAAATTGAACAAAAAACACACGGCAGCTGCTGCTACCAAGGGGTTTCGGGACAAAAAGCTGTCCTTTTGCCCTGCTGGGCTAGCCTAGCAGAACCTCGCACCGAGCTGCGACGGCGCTGAGCCTGAGCTCCGGTGTCCGGTTTCGTCATGCATCGGGAGCTCCGGTGGGTTCTTGACCGAAAGCTGTTGGAGAAACCTGCGGTTCTGTGGAGACCTGCGCTTCTGTGTGTGTGCCGTTGCGTGGACCTAGTTTTTATGTTGTTTTCGGAAGGCGGGTGCCCAAAGCATGCCGAAAGGCACGCAATTTGGGGAGACGTGTGTGGCTCGTCCCACCGAAACAGTCCAGGGGAGGTGAGCCGGAATACTCTTTGACACGTGCCAACTGAGCTCAAACAGTGCAGAAGATTCAACCCGTGCAACGCTACCAGGCCAGCCAGAACATTTGTTTCTCCAGAGGCCTTGTGCAACTCCTGTGCTGCCACTCCTGTCGCAACTCGTTCGTAACAAGCTTGGCCCACGAACATCCTGGGCCACAGTTATGAGCATCATAACCGTTATAAACTGTCCAGTTTCGAGCTTAGTAAGACAGAAGGCTTGGAGTGGCAGAGGAAGCTTGTTTAAATCGAGCCGTTTGAAAATCCTACAGGCCCAGGATAGCCCCACTGACCTTGTTCTGGTGTATAACACCGTGAAAACGACTTTGCGTGAACTGAGTCATTGTCATCAACAGGTCTCTTGGAGATCGGACGCCTTGGGATGCATGTCATGTGCGATGATAGGTGCAAGGATGAGAGGTGTTTAGGTGTGGTGCCGGAGCTTGTGTTAGCTTTGTCAAGCTCTTCTAGTATATACTAGTATGTAGCTTCAGAGCGTTGGCCTCTCCAGATTTTGAAGATCTTGGGCACTCATTGAGCCAGTTAAGACCTGGCGTCGGTGCTGACGACCACACTCAAGTGTTGCCAGCTGTCATCACCCGCAGAGAGCAGCCAGAAGTGGATCATAGCTTCCTGCTTTTTGTCTTCGACCACACTTGCACATCAATTGCTGGACCCTACTGGGCTTATTTGGGCCCCAATTTGTACCCACACAAAGAGCTACACCCACTGCGGCCAAGTGGCGCAAGCGGCGGGTTGGGGGGCTGCTCCTTGGGCGGCTTGGCCTCGGAGGGACTGAGTCGGACCTGCAGATCTCTGGGAGAACTGCTGAAGAGGTTGATGAGGTCATGGGGTTCATGGGCAACGGCTGCCACGGTGCATTTGGTGGAGTCCCACTAGAAATTCTGAGGTGCCACAGCTGCCACGACCCTCCCAGCCCCGTGACCGGTGACCTATAGGTCTTGGTCTCTTTCGAAGCGACTGCCTGCGGTCGTTGCAGCACACCTGAGCTATCCTGAAGCATGCTCTTCCTTTGTTTCCCTTTGCCAGACCTCGGGAAGACAGCCAAGACCCCGCAAGCGGCCGACGTCGATAAGGATGGATGTTGGCTGAGACTCGTGGTTTATCAGACCCTAGACATTTAAGCAGTCTCAGAGCAGTCTCAGCGCATCTCAGCACCCCTGCCCATTCTCTTGTGGGCTCCAAGTTTGCCAGAAGAACCACTCGAATCCAGCAGGCCTGACACGCGCAGATCTGGAACCCAAACCCTGCCAACGCATCCCCGTGTGGCAAAAAGTCTGGCCCAGAGGGCAGTCCTTCATGGCCACATGCCAGACTCATGGATAGACTTAGCCGACTTAGCCATATTCTTCCAACAGCAACAGGTTTCTACCAAGTCCCAAGAGTTTGCTCCATGATCCCTGCATCACAATCCGCATGCTTGTTTAACTTGGGGACTCGACATTGTTTCGTCTTCCCAACTCCCAATTTGACTCCTTTTGGAAGTATTTATATCTAGCTACGAGCTTGCAATGAATATATGCATGGGGGAGCTACACAGATTTACGCCTTCTCAGATGCCGAAGATGATCGAACATGATGAGATGTGCGGCTAATTTCCCAGTAGTTGCTTGAGATCCTGCACTGGGAATGCACGTCGAAATGGTGAATGCCAGTCTTTTTATTCCGAACTTGGCGAGAGGATCATGGCTAGTTTCATGTGTGATGTGATCATATGTGATCATGGCGATGCTAGGCACGGTTTTTGCAAAGGGAAAAGCGATGGAACAATCAAGAATACCAAATGGATCAGGATGCAAAACCACAAACACGCCTGAGGTATTCGCTTCTGAGTCCCCAAAGTCTTACAAATGACCCAGGTTCTTATCAGTCTGAGCCAGAAGCTCGAAACACCATAGCTCAGGTCTGAAGCTCGACATTGAGCATGTGATTTTCAGATTTGTGCCACCTAAACGGCAACTTTTTCAGATAAGTTCTACATACGAAGATCTAGGTTTTTTTGCCGGAGTTGGAAAAGAGACTCCTTATTGGATTTGCGTAGCCCAGGGGCCCAGCCAGTCAAAGTTGTTGGAACAATTCTTGTCGCAGTATGTTCGTAGCCTTTCCTGCTAGGCTGGGGATAACCAACGCGGCCGCCGGCCGCACAGCAGAATTTAGTAACGCGATGGTTTTGATCAATAGAAGGTGGTCTTGGTTCGCGCAAGGTTCGCCATAAGAGTAGTTTTGGAAAAGGGTATTTTGCGCAACCTCCATTTGCGGTGCACATTCCGACAGCTGGGTATGCAGCAGTTCATTTTGGAGACCAGCAGTAAGTAGCTATCAGAAGGTCCCTGAGCACTTGCTGCACTCCTGTGTAGACTCAGGCAGGCAAGCTCACTAAGCTCCGCATTGTCTCATGAATCATTTTGCTTTGGGTGCTTGACATGCGAGGGCTGACCTTCTGCAGAAACTCTGGAAGGATGCCTTGCATGTGCATGTGACTGCCTGGGACCACAGTCAAAACCGTCACACGCCCTCCAGAGGCCTTGTGCAACTCCTGTGCTGCCACTCCTTTCGCAACTCGTTTGTAACGCAGCTTGGCCCACGAGCATCCTGACAAGGTCTGGAGTGGAAGAGGACGCTTGTTTAAATCGAGCCGTTTGAGAAGCCCACAGGCCCAGGATAGCCCTACTGACCTTGTTCTGGTATGTTCTGGTGTGCCATCCGCTCCGGGGGGGGGCGGACGGGATAGCATGTCATGCGTACTGCGCTGCGCCGAAGACAACGATGGACCGACGTACTCAGTCAACACCGACCTTTTATGACAAGTTGTGACCTTCGGTAGATCTGGTAGCTTCATCAAGCTCTTTGTCTTCAGGATGTTTCAGGTGTAGCATGCAACACCTGACCTGGAAGGAACTCCAAAACCTTTTTGGTACATCGAGCCTCATTGAGCCTGCTAGTTCCAAAGGAGAGCAGAAGCGGCTCAGCAGCGTTTGAGCATGTTTTTTGGGCGGCAGAACTCTGCCTTCGAGTGAACCGCAACGGTGAAAACCACCGAAGATGCTCAGCCACCGAAGATTCTTCGGATACCCCCTGTGTAACTCCCCCGGGTCACAGCAGCGATCCCACCGCTTGGCATCCCACCGCTTACGACGCGGGTGGAACACCGCAGCCCGGGTGGTTTTGCCTGCGGACCTGGACCCACTGGGAAGTCCGGCGCCGGACGGTTGGGAAGATGGAGGCATGGACTGTTCATGCTGGCGCAAGACTGGCGTTCGTTGGCGTTTTCTACGTTGTGCTTTTCAACAGATGTCTCCCCACTTTTGGTCCACTAGACAGTAAAGTCACTGAAGAATAGACAAGAACCATTGCGTTTTGGTCTCTTCATTTGCTACTTGCCATGTGTGGCGGCCAAGTTTTCTTCAAACAGTTCCACAGTTCCACAGATGCGGCGCTCAGCGACTTGAGCCTGCCTTGCTCAGGCTGTGCCAATGAAAAAAGGGGCGACGGCGATGGTGCAATCGGATGCAATCTCTTATGATTGTGGGACCATCGATGCCAACAGAAGCCAACAAGAAAGCCATTCACTTTCTGTGTGCTTTGGGAGAGAGGCTGTGCCCGGAGTAGACGCTATACTTTACTTGAAGTGATCCCCACCCTGCGAGGAAATTTGGAAGAAGGGCATGCGTGTTGACATTGCAATTGCTACCTAACAAAGGACCTGACAAACCATATTGCCTGACATATGAGCTGCATATGTTCTGACATTTGTTCCAACACAATTTGCGTAATTAATTACGACATCTAGCCGATAGGCTAGGGTGGAGTTGTCGATGGGCGAACGAAGTAAGTATAGGGGGTGTGGCGGGGGGTGGTTGCAAACTGTCTCACCGGGTAGGTGAACCCAGAGCCTGGTGGGGGAGAGCGAAAAAGGAGGCGGTCAGGAAGGTAGTGAACATGTATGCTTTAAAGTTAGGGGGTCTTGATGCGGGTGATGCAACTGGCGCTGAATAGTGCATCATTAGCTTCACGAAGTGCTCAGGAGACCAATGAGGCTGTCTATTGACTAGGGGTGGGGGTTGGTAGAGCACTCACGAAGTGCTCAGGAGACTGTTTAGACTAAAGGACAGGAAAGGGGAGCTGCGCGACAGGAAGTGCAAGAAAAGAGGTCATCCCACACTGAGGCGCGTCCATCCAGTTAGAAGACAGATGAGAACAGAAGCGGCGAGATTTGTGCAAGCCAGAACCTCTTTCTTACAGAGATAGGGTTCGGACAATGCAGGAGGCCATTTGCGGGCTTCATCTTTACAGCTGCGTCTTGGTTCATATGGGATCTCTTCTTTGCTCCTTAAAGAGGGGTACCCATATTGAGGTGGGCTCACCAGAGTTATGAGTGTAGGTAGAGGACAGGAGAGGAATAGAATGCAGTCAGGAACCTTAGAGTTGCTTAGGGGTGCCCTTTTTAATGTCGGGCTGTTAGTTGGATGAAAAAGGGCACCCCTCAGAGCTATAGAGGTCCAAGGGAGTCGGACTGTTGTACGGATCGAAATCCATCTATCCTTTGCCAACAGTGGATGGGGGAGTTGATCCAGGCATAGTGTATATGGGTTTCAGTCTACCATCTCGAGTTTCAAAGCGAGATGCTGCGTCTCTCAGCCTTCTGCTTTCCTTGGCTAATAAGAGCAGAAGGAAATGCAAGAAACGATGTCACCCCACACTGAGGGAGTTGACCACCAAGTGTGTCCATCTTCCCCTCCCTTCTCATTTGTCCTGACATATCATTGAACGTTCTGGGATGCGTTCTGACATTTGTTTGGGCTGCTCTGGCATGTGTTCTGACACTTTATGGGATGTGTTTGGCATCGGTTGGGCTTGCACCAATTACACTAGAATGAACATCTTTTACAATCCATGCCTGGGGAGGCTTAGCATGAATCTCATTTGCGCAGGATCGCATGAACAAATGGGGGGGGGCACTGAGCGACGCAGGCTGGGCCTGAATCACGCACAAACACGCAGAGGTTGAGGCATTAGAAGGCAGTGTTGGGGCCAGCGTTTCTGCAACACCTGAGTGGCTCCAGGTCGTTCAAGGGCAACAGTGAGTCTTGTTTGGTTTGGTCGTGTTTTTGGTTTGGTGCCGGGTGCAGGCATGGCGGCCGTTGTGCCAATGTTTGCCGCAGTTTCTTTTGATCTTGAGGCAAAGTATGTATTTTTCGTTTGCGTTGGTGGATCAATGGTCATTTGAATGTGGCAACTCAAATTTGCCGGCCATTGGATTTCCGCTCAAGCATACACAAAAGGCCTGCTATACAGTGTGTGCCAACATGTGCTAATCTTGTATTTTTAGCTCGAACCTGTTGCAGTTGATCCTGCCAAACAACTGCTTACGTTGCAGTATGTTGCAGTTGATGCTGCATGTGCGCTTACAGTAAACTTCATCGCAGAGCATACATACGTATATACGGTATACGTATTTATATATATATATACTTGAACATGCGGAACAACACAGAAAACAATCCGGCCCGCCGGTCCTCATGCTGAACATGATACCTCTTTGGTGGTTTTTGGGATCACACCAGGCCTTCTGAGTCCGTCTTAGTCTGGAACTTTCACTGGCAAATGGGGAGCCAACGTGAAAAGACGCGTAATCACTTGGATTCTGCGGCCCGGACTGCGCCATCGACGCAGTCCATGGGCCGCGCCGGAGAGCTTGCAGCCATCGAGGCAGTCAGAGCGGCGACGGTGGGTTTTGAGGGAAGTTTCGATCAAAACACCTACAGTGGTTTCAGAGTAGATGGTGTGATGGGTTCTCTTTCCAGATATGGTGTTTTCAGATGGCACTGCACCCCTAAGATGTTTTTTTTGAGTCCGGCAGGCTGTGGAAGTGCACTTGTTCATCAATATTTCAGCTCTACTAAGTTATCTGACATGTCTGCCTTCATCTGCTAGTTTTGGCTTAACACAAGTATTTCCCCAAGTATACTCATTGAATATTAATATCAATATTTCCTTTAAAATAGGTACCCCAAGAATTCATAAAATTACCCAATATTGCCAATTAATATATATATATGTAAGTATAAATTCATTGAATATACACTTAAAGAGTAGTCAATGAATAAAATATATAGTATTCTATTATGAAAAGTATATCGATTATTTGCTTAAAGCGGATAAAGCAGAAATACCAAAAAAGGATAACAACGAACTAAAGTCCATAGTTATAGTTATTG